TGTATCATAATCTTGTCAATTAAAATATGTGCCCTTGTTTTATTGGCTTTGGAGGCATATCTACCTTTAAGCTAAGGGTACACGGCAGAGAAATCTCGCTAGAGTTCTACTGAAATAAAAATCTCCTCTCTCAATGAAGTTCACACGGTAGAGCTCTCTATCACGTACTCTACAAGCTGTGTTTATGGTATACAAACAATTGTTTCCTATCCTCCAGAGTTATGGCGTTTTTTTTTCTACAAAAAATGTTGCCTTTTCAATGCCCTGTCCTTAGTATTTGTAGTAAGAGAGCCATGAGATGGTAACATTTTTCAGTAGAAAAAAAAAACCTCATTAGTTTTCTATCTTGAATTGTTGTCAACGCATGTTGTATAAATGTATATATGTATATATATCAGAGCTACGATGTAGAAAATAAAGGTGGCTCCATCCGCGGACCGATAACACTGGTCTACAAGGGTTTTGCGAATAAGACGGGACCTGGTGTTTCCGAACGGATTTTTCGTGCTGAACACGAATCTGGGGTCCAAAACTTCCCATCACGTCACGTTTTCGAGAAAAAAGGGGTTGAAACCCCTAAAAACAGCGTTTTTGGCCATTTTTGAAAAATTGTAGAGCTGAACCCTGACGTGCTACAAACTTTGTATATGTCAGAAATTAAAGGCTAAATCGTGCCCTTTCGAATGAGCCCTATGCCGAATTAATCGCATGCACCCTTAGATCAGGGGGTGTATTTGTGTCTAGGAGTCCAATTTTTATATCCACCATATTCGACCCGTCATCTTAAATTTTTAAAATCTAACTGCAGATTCGTAATCAGCGACTTTTAATATAGTTAAAACCTTGGCATTATTAATTTTCTATGATCGTTTAAGATTAAATTCTTTCTGTGATCAATTTTTCCTGCACCCCTAAACACAAATACACCCCCTGCTTTAAGGGTGCACGCGATCACGAAAAATCCGTTCAGAAACACCAGGTCCCGTCTTATTCGCAGAAAAAAAGTTGAAATTTGTAGACCAGTGTAATCATTCGTTGATTTGACAGCATTCACCTATTCGCTGACGTCATAAAATACTTTTTCGCACTAGGGTTGAAAATTCAATTTTTAAATTGTACTTAATTGCCGAAAAAAGTTTTACCTAAAAGTAGATAAATGTACCTAAAAATTAAATATGTATTTTTGATAGTGGTGGCAAAGTTTCTCTTCACATCAAACAATCTTTGCTATTAGAAATTTCCTTGAAAGGAATTTCTCCGAGCAGTTCCAGCCAAAACTATATCGCCACTAGACACCAATATAGGTGCGCTAGTATTTTGACGTCGAAAAAAGACGCGAAAAAAAAGTTTAAGAAAAAAGCGGCTTACGAAAAAAGTGGCTTACGAAGAAAGAAGCAAAACTTAGTTGACGGCGAAGAAAGACGTGTCAGATTTTTACTTGGCCAAGAACTGTCACTTCAACACCATTCCCCAACACACTCTTTGGGGAATTTACGTACTGTAACAAACGCAAACAGAATTGACTGCGGAAATAAGTTTACGCGTCTTTCAAATAGTTTAACCCGTCTTTCTTCGGCGTCAATTATGCTAAGAGTTTTTCTTCGCTGAAGTTTTTTTTATGCGTCTTCTTTCGCGGTCCTCTATCGAGCTCGCGCCTTTATTCGTGTCTAGTGATGATACAGATATTCAACGAGTTGAGAAAGTGGCCTGACGCTCTGGCATAAGAGTAGATTTGCTCAAGCAAAGACTGTTGCCCGAGTGACAGCTCACTTGTTCAGTATGGTGAATACGCCTTGTGTTTTAACCAAAGGGGCATAAGTTATGAGTCTTTCGTAGAGCTCTATTGTGTAGGTGAGTCTTTCGTAGAGCTCTATTGAGTGTTTACACGTTTCAAGCGATATTTTTATCTAAGTCTCGCGTTTTTTCTCTACCGTGTACACTTAGCTTTACACGTACATACATATAAAGCAGAACAACTGTCTAGTTAACGGCAAACGTTTAGAATTTTTTTTGCGCTTAGATAAAAATTCATGTAAAAGGAAAACAATAACAAAGTTACAGTTTCTCTCAGAAATAACTGAATATGGCTTGTTTTCGTAAAATGCTAAAGACATAATTTTCTTTAAAGCCTTCGCAAAGCCTAGGCAGCCTGGCAGAAGGTAGTGGGTTAACGAGATTTATTTATCCTCCAGAGATCAAAACTATCTCTTAAAACCTGGATCGGGAACTTGTGAGCCTCAGAAACTCCACTGATCATCACCGACACTTCCTGCGCTAGAATCACTTTGCGCTCGCTGAGCTGGCTGTTTCGCTGGTCAAAAAGGAACTTTTCTCAGCATATGGTGGCGAATTATTCACTTCTTCGTATATTTTGTTTAATTTAATCAAAGACCTCAGGAAAATAAACGGCCATCAACTATTCAAAATACTGAGTCAATTGAGTTGCAAAAGAAATAATAGAACCCTATATTAATAAACACCAAAATTGTAATTTTTTTTTGTTATTTTTAGAATCGAAAATACAGAAAATCGGTTAATATCGTGCATTTTGTTATCAGGAAATCCGGATTTCTTAATCAGCTATTCGAAAATACAGATAGAACTACATCTTCTAATAAATTGCCGCTAACTGGGATGTGAGCGACGATAAAATGATGCCTGGAGAAGAGAGGGAGGGTACACGTATTTTTAAGATGAAAAAAGATAGGCAGCAGGTAAAAATACGAATCTAATGGTGTTTTCGTTTCTACCAAAAAATTTCGCATTTTCATTGCCCTTAAACACATTTTGCACCGTGGAAGGGCAACATTTTTTTTGAAGAAACGAAATCACCATAGCGCGCCAAATCTGAACTATTTATGGTGTTATAAGTGTCTTTAAAAACCACTTAGTACTCACTAAAAAAGTGTTTAAGGTCCTAATACCAATTGCTCTTGTGTCATTCGAATCGTTAAAGAAGTAACTACCGAGAGCCAAAGCTCCATTTTGCGTTAAGTCTGACCTTTCACCGATGTTAGGTTCCGAATTTAGTTTCCTATCCAGAATTATACCTAGGTATTTAGTTCCGTCTCTGCCTTTAGATCACACCAAAGGCATAATGAAGCTCAAGGACAACAACGCCCCGAGCAGATGGCGTTTATGGTTTTGCTGGAATCTCAGTGTACTAGCCGAAGGCCCACTATTGAGGAGGTCCTACTACACTTTTGACATCAGGAATAGATGCAGACTCTATGAAGTCGTGTCTAAATTAAGAATTCCTGCAATAAATTGCAAGTATACAGCTACATATGTGGAGAAATCATCGTTGAAATGCGTCCAAATAGGTTAGGATCTCGCTACACTTAAAGCAGTTTTCCGTTCAGCCAACCACTGATTTTGACACAAAGATGATGAGACTAGATCTACACAGCATGTTTTATGAAATGTATTGAAATTTCAACCATTGAAGAAGAACAACTGTTCTGTTAAGAGTTGTTAAAACCGAACCCTAAGTGCAGGTTGCAACATAATTATTAAGATCATCCAGATGCTCTTCTTCAGACGGTTAACTCAGCCAGCCTCTTTTGTGTGAATGAAGTCTCGATATTTTTCGATCTCTTAACTCTAGGACAAGGTCAATATATGTATGTGCCAATCCCAACTAAATCAGCAATTTCAGTATAAAGGATAACTTACCTTTCGATGTTTAAAACACATATTTATATATTTTAAGGTATTTTTATAGGTGTAAACTATATTTAAAAATATGTCTGAATAAAAGTTTCACATTAACTGAATTTTTTTATACTCGTATTTTATCTAGCTCAAACAGAAAAAAATTTCTTAAATTTGGAGAAGTAGCAGCTCTTCTATAACACTCTTTGGCAATTATTTGTGAAAATACCAGAACCTTAGGATGTTTCGCACTTCATTTATTAATCAAATTCAAATTTATCTTTAAAAAGGTGTCAACGTTGTTCAAAGATACATTACGATATTGTAATATTTCAAATAAATTTAAATTAATTTTTTAGATGGCGACACTTTTCTTAACACTTTCCAAAAAAAGCCTTCTTAAACCTCTTTCGGTTTGGTAACCATTCTGTAAGGCTCAATTTAACTTATTATTGAAATTAAGTTTAATTCTTTAAAGAGGTTTCAACGTCTTAAAAAATATTTTCGAAACAAAACTTTCCTAAATATTATTCGTTTTTATTTCATTGGTTTTATTAATTAAATAAGAAAATAATAAAATACCAGCTATCTCCCCAAGCACCTGCCTCCTCAAAAATATTTGGAAAAAGAGCTTTCTAAAAAGCTATTTTGTTTTACACCAACTTTGTGTTATTTAACTTTTTTGTTTTTCTTTTTGCCGGATCCACGAAATCATTTAACTTACTAAGTTGATTTAACTTACTAAGTTGATTTAATTTGATTTTTTAACGCGTGGCAACCTTTTTCAAAATTATTTTTGAAATAAAGCTTCCTTTAACCTGTTTCGCATTTAATTAATTTAAGTTATTAATGAAATTGTAATAATTGCTTTTTGATTATCTTGTGAAACTAATGAGAATACTTTCGAACCAAAAATAAGGCAACCCATAATGTTCCTCAAAGTAAAAAAAGTACATATTTCGCAAAAAAAATTAAAGTGCTTGCGGTTGCCTAAATATCACCAGTAAAGAAATTTTGGCTTAAAAACTACAGCGAATTCTTTTTCTCAAATATTACCATCTATTTGGTTCGTTGAATACTTTTCACACCTTCCACATTCTGCACATTGTTGCAGTAAAGTCGCATTCAATCGATCGAAATAGTTCTCTTTCGCGTGAGTGCACCACTAATGAACTCGGTGCATAATGCAATATTAACCAGAAATAAGCTGCAGTCTCTTCCCCTCGTTAGCGCCACAATTCACCCCCCCCTTAAATCCCAATTTTCTTATCTCTATTTATGCCCCAATACCTCACCTTGTCACCCGTCACCTACCGCCCGCTCTACACCACTACATCACCACTTACCTATAACATACGAGTACCCGTCCAGTGTGAGTACACACTTCCTTGTCATGCCACCACCAACGCCAGTCCGGCTGTGTGCAGTACGTCCGAAAATTGCCTTATTGAAGCTGTGACTACATGGGCTCGTATCTTCATAGTTGAGACTTTCACGTCGCCGCGTACTATCACTTCCAGCAAATTCGTCGATGCCGCTGCCACTGCCAAATTTAGCGCCCGTTGCACCATCGACAATGCTGTTGTTACCGCTGCCACTGTGGCTGCCACCACCAACGCCAATGCTTACCACACCGTCGCATGAATGCTTGCGCACGTCACGCGCATCCATCGTTCCACCGACACCGACACCAACACCTCCACCACCACTTCCGCTACCACACTCACCGATGCCGCGACTACCGACTGTACGCGAACGCGCCCGATTACGCGCCAAATTCGCTGCCAATTCCGCTTGCTGTGTGTCACTTAGCACTTCCGTCAAATTTTTGTCTGCCGCGGCGGATGCAGTTGCTTGCAGATTTAGCGCTTTGGTGGCCTCGATGCCACTAAGCGTTTGTGGTTTATCGCGACGCGTTTGTGAATCGCGGTTTGTTGGCTGTCGCAGGGATTCTTTCGGCGAATCGGCCATGTTTGCGGTCGCCAGGTGATATGAGTTCGCACACACAGAACCAATTTTTGATTAGTTTCTTGTTTTTTTTTTTTGAGTATTGATTGGACGTTTGAAATTTGGTTTAAAGTTAAATATGGCTCTTTAAAGGTTTTTAATGCATTTTTGTTTTATTTTTTTTTTTTGCACTCCGTTAATTCCTATTTTTGTGTCGCTGCACTTTAACAGCTTGAGCTCATTTTTGGATGGTTTGCTTAAGTAAATGCATTAATTTCAAATTTGGCGCGTAGAATTTCTAAATGAAGCGTCTTTAGTCGAATTAGCGAGCGTTGTCTACATAAAATATTTAACGTTCATACATACTAGTACGTGGTTTAGTTGATTTTGTGGTCGAAAACGCGTTTACCAGCTGTCGAACACCTGATGAATTTTACTCTGCTTCATTTTTACAGATTGCATTTTTTTTGGTTTATCACTTTTTTATGCTTTTTCTATGTACATTTTTATTTTCTTAGAACTTAAAGTTGGTAGAAAAATGAAAATTAAAGGGGTAGTTATGGTTCAAAGAAACTGTTAAAATAAAATAAATTCACATAAGTTACGTTCTCACAGTGCAAGTTAACGCTAGTTTGACTGTTAACTTTCCATTTTCGTTAACTGAGTTAACCCACACCGTGTGAATGACCATAACGTATGCATTGACAAACAAAAGTAAAATAAGTGCTTTATAAGAAACAAAAATTTACGTTTATTTTAAAAATTAAAAAAGAAAGGAATTAGTTTTGGTTGTTGTTCCAAGAAAAGATTACGTACCATTTTTCGGAATGCATTTTTGTTATTCCTTGTAAAATTTTGTTTGTAGATTAAAAATTCCAGTGTTGTGCCTTCTAAAGTGCTATTTTTCATTCGTATTTTTGAGTATGGTTTCCAAGAGCTTACGTGATTTGAGGGTATAATTTACAAATACGGATTTTCGATGTCCAACCTTTTATTGTAGCACTTCGGGGCAAGGACGTATTTAGGGGGGGGAGTGTGGGGGTTCTGACCCCCGCCCCCCCCTAAATGAAGAAATGTAGGTTTTCAAGGCACCTAAACTTGAAAAAGGCAAAACGAGCTTCAAAAAAAGGTTTTTATGTACTTCCTTTATGTACAATGTGAAGGTCCAATTAAAGATATAAAAAAATACATACAGTGGTCAAAAAATTATAACCAAACCACTTTTTGCCAAGTTTTCACGTATTATATTTGTTGTTATTGAACTTTTGTTATATTTTTAAATAAAAATATAGTTCGTTCTTTAACAAAACCCGTGGAAATCCATGTTTCCAAATTTGAGCTGTCCACTTGCAAAGGCGCTATGTAATTTTTTTTAGATTTTTAGTTTTTGGTGAGTAACGTACCAGTATTTAAAGTAGTTTCATGTCCACTAAAATACAGTGCAAAATCTTTATATTTTCTGAAAAAATAGCATCAAATGTTAACTACTATTGCAAAAGTCGCTATGATACTTATTTATACACTTTCAAAAGTCTCCATCTTCTGATGAACTTAGAAAACTGCAAGAAAACGTGGTAGTTTCGGTGCCTAGTGGAAGGCGTCGTAAAAAAGAAGCAGACCAATCTTCATGGAAGAGCGAACGCGAAAAGCTAAAAAAAGATAGCTATTATTATTATTTATGGATCACTATTATAAAATCACATAACGCTGTTTGCAAGTGGACTACTCATTTGTGCAATATTAAAAAAAAAATTCAACAAACTTTCGTACAAATTTCGAAATTTTCAAAATTCTAGAAAATCAATCGACATTTTTAGCCATTTGAAACGTGTACTTTATTCTACTAGAATTCAATGGGCTACAAAACTGCAGAATTTAATTAAAAAATTTTAACGAAAATTTGTAGATTTTTTTTTAATTGCATAAATTTTTAAGGCAGTGTCACTAGATTGGTACATTTGTACAGATTTGTAAATTTTTATATTGGGCTATTGGTAAAAAATAGTGGGACATTTTTTTTTTTGCATTCAAAAGATTGGTACAATACAGCGATGTTCTATTGGGATAATGAAAAATATTTTGGGTGTTCAAACAATTGGGATACGATTTATACCAAATTTTAGCAAATACCCAATCGGGTGACACTGCCTTTAAACTTGTATTTATACGGATGTTAGTAAAGAACGAACTATAAAAAACTAACCGAAATTAAATAACAACAAAAATAATGTTTTAAAACTTGTCAAAATTTGGTGCGGATATAATTTTTTCGACTACTGTACATAAGTTGGCTATGATTACTCGGCCGTGCTATCATAGTAGCACAATGCCACTCATCTTTGACTTACAAACAAACTACGGGAAGGAATTTCAAGATTTCAACCCTGTTTTTATGAAAAATTTTATTTTTATCAGTATTTCCCCCCCCCCCCCCCCCCCAAAAAAAAAATCCTGGCTACGGCCCTGCTTCGGGGCATACTCTTACGTTCTTTATTTGCCCCATACATATGTGTTAAGACTAAAGAAATCATTAGATCATCAATATTTACAAAATAAATACATTATACATGTTCAAAATTTCAACCAGAACTTACTATGTTCAATAGGGTCGAATGGAGAGAAAAACGAATAAAAAATGTGTTTAGAAATTCGAATATTGGCAGGTCGTTGCATTAGGGCGACAGTACAAAACCTCTAAATATTTTTTTTTTTTATGAAAATTTTGAGATTCTAAGCAAATAGCGTAATTTATTAAAATCAAAACTCACAAAAATTGGGCTTATTTCTGACAAAGCATCCATAAATCAGATCTGTGGAAGTAATATGTGAACTTGCTTCCAGGCACCAAAAATTGATCGACGGTAGTTATTTCTCGACATAACTTCCACGGAAGTTCGCTTAGGGATATGCATAATATTTATAAATCAGCAGACAATCACTATAGCTTCGCAGGTTATGTCTCGTATTCTAAGCATTACTGTAAACTAATTTTTTAAATAAAATCAATCAATCGAGTCAAAATATAAGTGGTATAGAAAGTGGTTTGTAAAATGTCGTTTTCAATATTGGCTGAGCAAGGCACAAGTGAAACCTTGGAATTTTAATGCAAAGTTTTCACAAAATGATACCGATCTACCTTTAAAGCAAACGTTTTTTTTGAGATGCGTTGTAAAATATACAAAAATCCAAATAAAAAAATTATTCTCATTTTCGTTGTTGGTGTTTCCGACAGGGTAGGAGTGTGATGTAATGTGGAACGAAAAAATTATCCTTTTATTTACCTTTTCTATGGGCTAGTCTGATATGGAAATTTCGAGTGCAAATAAAATTATTTTATTCCACTTTATTTGCACTCAACACTGCGAGAACAGATTAGCCTGCAAAAAAGATAAATATTTGTTTTTTGTTTGCACTGAAGAAATGTTACTTTTAGAAACGCTTTAAGATCTTAATCGAAGTGTTAACGGAATCTTCACGTCCAAGTTCAAGATTAAGGTCCTACTATTTGTCCAACTTTAACCGAACTGAAATAATTTAAAAGAATTTTGAATAAGGGCGGTGCATCCTTAATGATTTGCAACGAAAAGCTTGTGAGAAAAAAAGGTTCGAAACTTGATACTCTTAGAGGAATATTAGTGACTTAAATGATTGCACAAATGATGAATTGGATTAATTTTTTTTGAACAATTCTTGATCTTTTTTCAACAGGAATTTCCTTCTGAAAGAAATAAATATTTTAAATAACGTAGGCGTTCACCAGTCGCAGGCCTCTACAAAATTAAAGCCCAATTCTGTATCGGTGACATATGTATATATTTCTGTAAAAAACTCTGGCAAGAAATTGTTACTGATACAGAATGGAATCGTTAGAAGGCTCTCCTCTCTCGGCACCAAAAGCCGAAAAGATCAAAAATTGAAATGTACTCGTATACAAATAATTTGGTTAATTTTCTTGAGATGAATCCCAACCCCATTTAAAAATACTTTTTAGTCCAGCTGCTAGATTTTACAGAACTCGTAGATAATAATTTGAAATTTTAGTTACAAAATGAGTGAACCCCCGATTTTGGGTGAATTTGAATTTCTCGGGCGAATCGGGGAATGGCTTTAAATTTTGGGGGAATCCAATATACAACCGATTAGAACATTCCTATTGAGAATAAAATTATAACTTGTAATAACAATCACTCATTACGGTGTTACGGATTTAAAACATAAGGCAATTGCCCCATGGAACCGTGTGGATATTATAGAAATTGCAACGGTGCATAGTGACAATTTTCACTTGACCTTTACATTCGACACTATCATTTCCTATTTCGTGTTTGGCGCAAAGCCAACATCTAATAAAAGTAGATAAGTATTTATAAATACACTACATACGTATGCATACAGCCTTATCATGAGTTTCATTTTCGCACAAAATCGTTCGCTATTTGCTTAAGTGCATTCATTACGGGCACGAAGACGGGCATAGAAGGTTTACCAAAATTAATTTAAAAAACTGCAATAAGAAATAAGATTGCCATTTATAGCTTGGAGGTAATTTTACTACAAAACAACTTTTAAAAAGTACGTATGTAGACAATTACAAAAATTTCATTAAGGAAATACATACATGATTCTAAGGAATAATCCCTCATCCCGATATACATTTTTGATAGATATGTTTTACGAAATATAGTCAGAAGTATTAGTTGCATATATTATAAAAGAAGATTTCTTTATCCTTATTACCTCATTATAATTTATGATATTTGTTGAAGTACCTTTAATAATAAAAGTTAATTTGGGGAAATTCAATTGAAAATAGGGGAGTTTTTCAGGAATTTGGGGGAATTAGCCTTAATAGAGTTGGCATCCCTGGCAGCTACCAACTTTCTATATCTAAATACTCAAACTAAGGTAACCCACATAGACTTTGCACTCTGATCATGTTTACGTCAGATACGCATACAGCACTTTATCAGAATCAATCAATGTCATAAACTATTAACAATGAAATGATAGGCACGGGCCAAAAAAAAAAAAACATATCCAAAACCCGTTAGTTAAAGTAGTTATTTTGCTTTCACATGCATACGTGCATACATATGTATGTACATTAGAGTGATCCAAAACTACATAGGAAAATCAAGCTTTTTCATTATTCTCGCTGCCACCCCTCCAAAACTGAAGAATATCAAAAAATCATATTTACCCGTGCCACCGGGGCTTTGAAATTTCCCACGTATTTTACATGGGGAAAATAAATTTTTTCGTAAAGTTGTTATAAAATCGTTAAAAATAAATATTTTTGATCGAATAAGACTATTTCCCTCAGAAAAATTTTACCAATTGTGTTTTAATAACCGATAGTCCCCTGTTATATACAAAAATTAGTTATTTTATGTTTTCATAACCACATCACGCACGAACAGCTCAATGGATGTGTGTTTTTTTTTCAGGGCTTCGGAGCGGAGCAAAGGAGCAGAGAGCTAAGGAGCAAAAGACT